CCTCTGAAATGCAAACACCTAAGCCGTTTATTTTTGCAATCTTTTTGAGTGGTTTGAAGAGAATGATAGGTTTATACATAACTATAGTTAAATCAAATTAATGTAACAGTCAACAACTAATGTGTGCTATTACACAGCTAAGTCATAAATTAACAAAAACGCTCACAGCGTAGAGTTTTTTGTCAAAATACCCACAACACTGTGGGTATTCTGGTGATCCGCGTTAACTTAAAAATCGTTGTTGAATCCAATCATTTAAAAGTTCTTCCAATTTGAAATTTTTATAATCTTATTAAATTGCATTTGGTTTTGACATTCAAATATGCTCTAATGTAAAGTGTTTATATAAGAAAATATTTATAGCTTTTAAATAAAACACCTGTTTTATATTTTAACATTAAATGTAATTTTATAACCAGAGAAAATGGTTATAAAAATACATTTTTTTAACATCTTTAAAGATGTTTCATTTGACTTTCATTTGCCATTATTTAGGGTGTTGTAAACTTAGCTGTACTCCATCCTTAAGTCAGAACTGCCAATTTTTGACGTCTTTTGCCAGCATTCTTCAATGAACTTGGTCGGAATTCTCAAAATAAAAAAATATCACCAATAATTTAGCAGCTGAATATTTAGTGCTTTGGCTAAGCGTCTAGCAGAATATTGGGTATGTTGCAAAACCACTATCGGTGACATCTCTAGTTATAATAGTACATGCTTTTGTTTTTAAACGAACATGCGAAAATAAAAAATTGGAAAGTTAAATTAAATAAAAAGATAAAAGGATTTTAAGATTTTCACTCAACTAAAAAGATTGGTACTTTAAAGATTAGTGTACAATAAAAATCTATTAACTTAAAAATTAAGTTTTTAATCAAGAAAATTGACATAGATGTAGCTAGCCGTGTACATCGGCTAGTTACCGCAACATATACGAGAGTGGAAACTGTCATCATGGCATGAAAAACTTATAATTTTATTTAATTTTATTATTTAATTTTTTTTTTAAAATATTATACTTTTTAAATTAATAAATTTGATCATGGCATGAAAAAAATATACAATTTTTAATTTTTAGTTATCACATGTTATTGCTATTTTAAAAGGGTTTGTCATCAGGGTTTTATTTTATTTTTTGAGTAAAATGATAATTATAAAAAAAGGAAAATAAAGTAATATATAGGTTAAGAAAATCAGCTAAAAATGAATTTGCATAATTCATTTAGATAAACAGCTGAAATATTTTTAAAATTTAATAAAAAAATTTTTTTCTTGAAGTTTTACCTTTTTTATTTAACTAACCAGAGTGATAGAGGAAGTGAAACTAACCAGAGTGATAGAGGCCAAGGCTTTGAGCCTCGCAGCTGTTCTTTTTTAAAAAAAACATTTTTCTAAACCAAAAAAATGTAAAAGTTTCAGCAATGTTTCAAACTAAGTAAAAATTTGCCATTTAAATTTTTTTGTACAAATGTCGTTATTGTTGTTATTTGTCATTATTGTCGTTATTTTTTTACAAATGTCGTTAAATTACAAAATGCACACTTTTAATAAACAATTAAAACTTTTTAAAATAAAAACTATCAATTAAATAGTTTAAAATAAGAAATCGGTTCTCTAGTCTATTTCTGTTTTTCCTGTGTACATAGAGAAATTTTTCAATTTTTTTTTTTTTGATAATATTATTTCATTTTCCACCTCAGTGTTTCACAGGAAGACATGCGATGGCACATCATTATATGACCAGGCAAATCACATTTTACTTTAAAGATTTGACTGCGGCTATTTCAAAAACATTTCAAAAAGAAAACTGAATAAAAATATTCTGAATTATACCTTAGGTGAAATAAATTACATCAAAACTTCTAAACAAACTTTTCGAAAGCAAAATGCTTTTAAATAAAGTAATTTACTGATAATAATTTTTTTAATTATTATTTTTCAGTATAATTTTTTTAAATTTATATTACATAAATTATTTAAGTATGCCTTTTTTTATAATGAATTTTGTTAAAAAATAAAAAATTATTTTGTTTTTATAAACAATGGCTTTCAAAGACAACAGAAGTCTTTATATAAATATTAAAGTCTTATATAAATATAAGAATTATTGAAGTTAAAAAGATAAAAAAAAAATTATTTAAAAAGATAAAAAAAAATTTGTTGAAAATAAACAACAAATGTTTTTGCAAGCCGTTACAATTAAATAAGTTTGATCTTTACTGCTTTTATATTATTGAAACGGTTTTTTAAAGTAAAAAAACACTTCTAATGAATTTTTATATTCAGTATTAATAAATTGTTTTGTTTTTTCTTTGTATTAATATGTATTTTTTATGATAGATGTTAATATTTTAAAACAAAATTAACTAAAAAAACAAGGACAAATGTTAAAACAAAGAATGAAATGGTTTTTAATGCGTAATTATTTACTAGTTTACATTTACATGGAAACTGATATTTTTAAATTTGTAAAAAAAATAAAAAAAGATAATTTAAATTAAGCGTGAGTATATTTTAAACAATCATTAAAAGTAAATTGTTCTTTTTGTTTTAAGGCTTTCCGATAATATTATATTAAACATTAATAAAGATAAAAAATTATTCCGAATGTAATTAAAAACATGATTTAAATAAACTAAGCATTTTAGTTTGTTGAGTTTTGTTTTAGTTGGTTGTTTTTTTTTTTTTTTTTTCTCAATTGTTAAGATTTTTTTTTCTCTTTTAAAGTATAGTTTTTTTTAGATAAATTTGAGTAAATTTTTTAAGCGCATTTTTAAATTTTGAAAAAATGTTAAAATCTGTGGTCAAGTCGTCAAAACAAAGTATTTTTGCATGGTCATATAACTGCTTGCGATTGCATGTCTTCCTGTGAAACACTGCACCTAAACCTTTAAAAGTAAACCTTGTTTTTTTTTTTGTTTTTTTTACAGGTAATAGTCTGTACTACTTTTCATAATCTTTTTCTTATTTGTGCAAACTGTTGCATCATTCCAACAGCACAGACTTTCTTTTAGACTTTCTAGACAGTTCTAGCAGTTCTAGAATTTTCTAGAAAAATGCTCGTATTTAATACAAATCAAGAATTTTTGAATCTTTGTCAAAAACACACAATTTTAAAATATCTTTGCCCCAACGATAAGCCAAATTTTTATGTAGCAGCTGAATTTTTTGTTTTTATTTTCAGCAAAACATGATAAGGAAACAAAGTTAAGACAAAATAAAGATAATGCAAAAAAAAAAAAAAAAAAAAAAATTGTTACATAGTCTAATTAGTTATACATTATTTTGCAATTTCGTTTCATATTCTCTATAGAACAATAACAATCAAGTAAATATGCAAGTTATGTGAAGATAAAATATTGTAAGCAGTTTGAAAAATCATTTTAAAATATTTTAGCTGCTTTAAAAAAATACATTGCAGGAATTTCTGTGAAATCCAGTTTACAGTGCTGGAGTTTTTGAACTTATAGAAGCATGTTTAATATGTAGTTTTAGACTCTTCTTTTTGTATATTGGATAATAAAACAAAAAATTATTCATAATACTAGTACTTAATATAATTGTATTAACTTAGATTTTGCAATGGCTTTTTAAGTAATTTTTCAATTATTAGTCAGTTTCTTTAGTCTCTTTCATATTAATTATAGAAATTAACAAAAACTGTAACATTTTAATTCTTGTATAATAAAGTATTTTAACAATTATAAAAGTTTTAACAGGTCAAATCGTGTTATCAAATGTATTAAATTATGGCAGATAAGAAAGTCAGTAAGTTTTTTTTTTGGTGCATTTTAATGATCCTTATCATAAAGCACAATAGAGGAGCATTTAAACAGGAAGTTCACATCTCTTTCCTTATTAATGTGGTTTATTTGATCAAAGCAGCTTTAGACCTCTTTGTTCTCTTCCAGAACTCTAACAACTGCACCACTTCTGCTGTAATTCAGTGTTCAGCATTCACATCACCAAATGAGTTCAAATTTGTCGGTTTTAGTCCTGGAAATACAAAATCAGTAAATCTTCTATAAAAAGCTATATACTAAAGACATTATTAATTGTTCTTTGTGATGAAGTATATTTGAAAGTCAAAGTCAACTTGCAATCAAAATTGGTTAGGGAACTTCAATAAATGTGATAAAACAGAGGCAATATAAACAGAAAAGTTAACTAGATTTTTGTCTCTCTTTACAATAAATTAGCTGACAACAGACATGAAAAAATATTTTTTTTATGTCATGTTTGCAAAATTCAAGAACTGCAAAAAAAAAAAAAAAAAAAAAAGACAAGTTAACGCACATAGCCTTCTTGATTACCCTTTATTATTTCTTTATTTTTTTGTGTATATATTTTTATTTTCTATCAATAACTTAACCATGTCAAACCTATTAATACTACAGAGTCAGCTAAAGACTGATTCTGTACAAAATTAGCACAAAAGTGCCAGGTAAGATTTATGTGACCAAGGTTAGCTGGATGAGTCCTTAAAAATTAGTTTACAGATTATTAGAAGGCTAGTGTTGAACTTGGAACTATTATTTTAATGACAGGGGCTATTCTAGACTGTTTTCAACAGCGTTGACAGTATTTGGGTGCCGATTTGGACGCTGCCTAAATTAAAAAATGAGGACTTTTTTCTTTAAATGTTTTTTTACCGCAAATATTGTTTTTTTGTTTGTAAAAAAATGCACATATTCTGCAATATTTCCTCTGAGACTTAGGGTACCACCTCCCATTTTTTCCCCCTAGAATAGCCCCTGAATGATATGTTTGATGATAACAATGATATGTATGATAAAAGTTTAATTTAATAAACAATTTTTAAAAGGTTTATATTATGATTAAAAATTACTATATACAAAAATCAAATTGAATTATATGTTAAATATATTTTGTACATTATGGATGCTTTCATACATATTTTTATAAAGTGTAAAAATCCGATGTACTAACAATTTCATGAAATAAATTTTATGATCAAAGATTATTTTAAATATTTTAAGCACTAGCAATGGTGAAGCTAATGAACATAATGGAAGCTATCAAAATGGTTTTCAAACTCGTCATCAACCATATCAACAAAATGGAAGTTTAGAAACTACTCACCAACCTTTTCAACAAAATGGAAAAGGTATAAAAAGTTATAATCTAAACAAACCAATTTTAAATTAGTTTTGTGTTTTGGGCAATAAATAGTTGTCAATCGCTTCAACATTTTTAAAGTTTAAAAAATATCCTAATATCTAATTTTATGTATAAAAAATACCTTTGTGTATTATATATTATGTATAAAATATAAAAATAAAAACAAAGCTAAGTAACAAATGATATTCAAATAATTGGCCATAATAAGTGTAAATCAAATGAATTATCTGTTCACATAACATAAAGTTTTTTATGTTTATTGACAAAACAGAAAAGTTTTATATTGAAAAACAACAAAAGTCTTAACAAATTAGTAACAAAAATCAAAATATAATGTTATAAAAAAAGCCTGAGTTGTTTTTAATTATAAAGAGATAATATTTATATGTCATTAAATTTTTATCATTATTTTGAGTTTGTAGAGGATTAAAGAAGTGAATTGCTGAGGTGAATTTCTGATTTTTAAAATCAATTATTTTATTTCCAGAATGTAAAATTGCCTGATTGTAATTCTATTTTTCTTTTATTTATATATATTATCTAAATTATTTTCGATCATTTTTATAACTTTTTTTGGGACATAAAGGTTAAAATTTTCATCTTTCAAATAGCCTGGTAATGTGAGACTAAATGAGTAAGATCAAAGCAAAAAAAAAATTAGATACTATTTTTTTTCTAACTTATTGCCTCCTGAACTTATTCTATATTCTATTAGAGGTTTCTTGTTAAAATAATTTTTAGTTAAAAGCTTGTCTTAACAACATAAAAGATATAAAAAGAAATATTCGTATGGCTAACTTTTGTGAGTCTTTGAGTTCAATATATTTAGTATAAGTATATTACTTAAATTTAATAGCTGATAAAATAGTCCATGAAATTCAATAACTAAAATTAAAAAATCTTATATCCAAAAAGAAAACTTCTTTATATTCAGATCTCTTAACTCAGGGATATCATAAATAAGCACCTTTTTGTGTGTTGATCTCAACCTCAGTTTTCAGCTCCTTATCAGCAAGAGCAAAAATTACTTGTTATGGGGACAGATACCAAGTATGATGCATAAGACTCTGGTATGTATTTTTTTTAACTGTCTCAGAAGTAGCAGGGTTCTACATTTAAGTCATCAGAATAGCCAGTAAGTAGATACAATCAGCCATAAATTTTGCTTCATGATGACCTTCATGCTGTTTAAATGAAAAGTTTGATATATCATCTCCTTGAAAAAAATGCTAAAAGTATACACAGTTACTTGTAATCACCTCTCTGAATAGTATTCTTAGGAAGATCGATGATACAGAACTCTTTAGTATCCAAGGCAAGTTTGAACTTTAATTAGCCAGGCCTAAAAGCATCTTGAGATCAGTCAAACTTAATAATTCTCTCAAGTTTGTTTACATCTTTGTAAATCTGCGACTATGGTGAAGATGCGCTAATGGCAATTCTATCCTCATATTTAGGCATTCCTTTATATTATTGTATGTGTATTGTATCTCTTCAAAATCTTGGTATCAAAATGTACCGCAATTTTTAAACCACTTTTTTTTATCTGTTTTCCTCTCTAATTATCTGTGCCTCAGACTTCACAGCAGTTTGAGTTTTCCTGTATAAATCTTGATATTGACATATTATCAATGTTTGCTCCACTATAGAAAACTCCCATAAACTGACAAGCTCCCTCAGAATACTGACACCAGTTTTTATTTGCTTGGTGCTCTGTGCACTTCATCAGCAAACTTGGAGCATCTTAATTATGTCTTTTCGGAAGCAACTAGACAACCAATTTTGATGCTGATCTGTGTTGTGCTAAATTAAAAAAAGAAAAGAAAACGTTAACGTTTTTATAAGATTAAGTCAGTAATACCTTCTTAACATTTCTTTATTTGTAGAAAGTCTGTTGGGGGTAAAAAATAATGGTTACCCTATCAAATAAAGTTGTCTCCTCTTCCTTGTAGCTTTTGATGCATCACCAATATCTCTTTTTTGGGAATTAGCATGACAATTTGTCTAGAGACATTTTCTAAAATCAATTTATTTCATTTAAAAAATCTGTATTTACTGCTTTATTTGATTGAATCATGATGATAGCATACTAATAGTGAGAAAATAGTGAAACTATTAAATAAGTTTTATATACAAGTTCAAATCTGTGTTTTTAAAGAGTTTCTTGGTTGAAAAAACTTGATTTCTAATTTAATACCATATTGACCTAAGTTAACTTTATGCATCATTAATTTTTATTGTTAGCCACACTTTTGTCAAAACATAAATAAAAACTGACAGGATAAAATCAATTTTATATCAAAATATATATGATTTATTGAAATAAAAGTAAATTCTCCTAAATAGCATTCCCCCTGAGAAGGAAACTCAAAAGATTATGTTTGTATTTATGGACAAAATAATGCCAAATGCAGTATTACGCACATTAAAGTTCGATTTATGATACATTTTTGTAACATGCTTTTTACTCCTTAGTGGAAGCAATTGCTTAAGAGCAAAAGCAAAACTTTTCACATATTTTTTAGCAATTGCTTTTGTTGTAAGCATTTGCTTTTTAACTTTTACTCAGAGCAATTTTGTTAGCAAAGTTTTTGTTTTTTCAAACTTGTAAGCAAAGTTTGTGTTTTTTATTAACTAGCCTAGTGTATAAGTTTAGAATAAAACAGTTAGATAAATATTGTTTTTACTAGGTTTAGGGTAAATATTGTGTGTGTGTGTGTGTGTGTGTGTGTGTGTTAAATTCACCATTATTTTTTAGATATTTTTTAAATCCTTTTTTATCATGTTTGAATCTTTATTTTTAGAGCAACAATCCAATGGGCTTGAGGTATATTATATACATAAAAGAAATATAGAGTATACTTTTTATATTCTTTATCTCTTTAATGTTTTTTTTTTTTTAATGGTATTCTTATTTGTTATTATATTTGTATTTTCATTTCCATAGTTTTATTTTAATTTTCATTCAAAACTCAAGCAGATTTTTTTTGCTGGTTAAAAAAGTAGCATCATGGTTCTAATATATTATAGTTCATAAAAAAAAACAGTTAATGATAAATATGTTCATTATATATTAAGGTTTGATTCTGTTTTGGGTTTAAAATTCTGGTCTATAATATTAGCAGAATGTTATTTTTATTTTATGTAATAAAAATAAATAAAAGTAATGTTATTTTTCTTTAAGATTATTTTCTTAGTTTAAGAAAATAAGGATTTTTATTTTTTAAAAGTTAATCTTTAAAGGATCCCTAAGTGCTTCTAACATATGATCTCATGAAAGAGCATAAAAAAATGTAAGTTTTTTTTTTCTTTTTCAATAAATTGTAATAATAAATGCATGCTAACAAAAAGCAATTGCCAAAATCACTGAAAAACAACTCCATTTTGATTTTATTTTTTTACCATTGAAACTCGATTGTTAGTCGTTAAAAATCACGTTAGTACGTCACAACAACTTAGTACGTCACAACTTCTACTTTGATATTCAAGTAAAAAAAGTCGTGATTAAATAGTAAAGTTTTAATCAAGTTTTTTAAACTAGTTTTGCAAAAACAGTATAATAGAATTCGGTTGAAAGAAGTCGTTAAAAAAAAGTTATTAGGTAATAGTTTTAATAAATAGTTTAGAACTTATAAAAAAGTCTTACAGGGCTCGTATTAAGCATATCGCAATCGCGGTTGCTTTTCACACTTCCGCGGTTTGTTTTTTCTTAAAAAAAATCTTTTCGCAATTTTTTTTTTTGGTTGTTTCTAGCTTAGCATTTTTTTTAGCAATTCTTAAAAGTAATGTTTTTATCATAAAGAACGTCACACAAAATTTATTATCCTGAATAGATAGACAAATTGATTTGCTGTTGATTTGCACTTTTGATGATTTGCTCTTTTGCGCGGAGATTTTCTTTCAACGTAAAACATTTTTGAATTTAAATTACTTAAAATCTCTGCGTAGAAAATTTTTAAAAGGTCGTTAAAGCGAAAAGTTAAAAAAAGGAAAAAACGTTTATTCGAGTTTTTTCTCCATTCTAACAAAACAGCCTGGTTTTTATCTTTGTTAATCAAAATATTTAAAATAAGGCTTAAAAACGTTAGAGCAAAAAAATTGCTGACTTAAATTTGCATTTCTATACTGTTTAAAAAAAAACTAATAAAAAAGAAATAATTATTATTATATTATCATTAGTTCTAATAATTATTAATATATTATTAGTTAATTCTTTTTTATTAGTTTTTTTTTTCAAACAGTATAAAAATGCTAATAAAAACCAGCAATTTTTTTACTTTAACGTTTTAATCCTTATTTTAAACATGAAGTATAATTCGATTTATTAAACCAAATTTTTTTGTTTCACTTTTTATTGGAAAACAATCGAAATAGAGAAATTGAATAAAAACATCAACTTAAAAACCATTTAAATGAAAAACTTAATTATATTTAAACTTTTATTAGTCCTTTATTCAAGAAACAATAAATTATAAAAAACGTCCTTTTTTAAATCAAAATTTTTATAAAGTTTTTGACAATGTTTTTTGATTTATTGACAATAATTTTTTAATTTATTAATTAAAACAATTTCATTTACTTGCTTTGTTTTATTTTAAACGCATTTTATGTTATTAAACTGTATAAAACAGCAACAAAACAGCGTCATAAAGTTGTTTTACATTAACACAAGCTATTTATATTTTAAAGACAACTTTTTGTTTTATAGCTTTTTACAATAGCAATTAAATCTCATTAAAAACGTGTGTTTTATCGTCAGCATGATCATATTAAACAGTTTTCTATGACTAATTAAAGTGGTTTAAATATTGAGTGACAGATCCAGGAATTTTTGGAGGAGGATTTTGAAATATTTTTGAATTTTGTACCATGTTTGCATCTCCTAATAAAAAAGCAAAAAACAAGGTCCTCGATTTCTATGATATTTTCAAGACTTTCAGATTTTGGTGGGTGGGTGAGTGGGGGGATGCATACCCCCATCCTTCCCCTGGATCCGTCACTGAAATATAGTAATGTTTGCTTTTTACTCTTATTTTTTTACTTTTACTTTTTTAAGTATCGTGTTAAGCAAAAACAATTACTTAATAGTATTAAATACGTTACCTGCTCTTTACACTGTAACTGCAACTTAAACTTTAAATTATAAATTAGGCTGTAAATTATAACAGTAACTTACGCTATTTTAAACTCTGCCAAACAAGTAAATCATAAGATAACATTTAAATATGAGATATAGTATGTTAAAAGATAACAATTACGTGCTAAAGAGACAGTTTTATACTAACGCAAGCCCCTCCCCCCATTACCGCACATCGGCGCGAGCTATAAAAGAGGGGGGGGGGAGCAAAAATTTTTTTTTTTTCGCTATTAGATTTTTTTGCGTTAATTCCTGTCCTGTCTTAATTTAATTTCTAATAAAATGTCTATTTAACCTTATCAATTTAAACCAAAAAAATATAGCAAAATTTAACTTAATTATTGTAAAAAAAATAATTATTGTAAAATGTTTAAAATAAACATTTTACAATAATTATTTTTTTTATCAAGCGAAAACAAGAATAACCGTCACTTTCGAAACCATAATAATGACTGAAATAAATTTATTTTTATACTAAGGAAATATTTTAAATAAACTTTCATGTGTCTAAATCAATATTCATTTGTTAAAAACTGACTAAAAAGAGTTTAAAATTTGACTTCTATTCATTTTTGGCCGTGGAATTGCCCTTACAACACAAATATATAAATAAAAATTATAAAAAAAATTGAATATACAAATATATTTTCACAAAATGCTATAAAACTTATTCTTGTAAGTAATTATGTGTTAGCTAAAGAAAAAACAACTTTACTTTTAAATTTAATTACCAACTAATATGTTTGCAATAATGACATTTTGTCTACTATGTTTAATTTGACGTACAAACATTAGTTTTTTGAGGCAATAGAGTCAATAAACTTTGGACAAGACACATTTTTTTTAATCGAAGAAAAGCGATTTTTTGAAAATTAAATTTGTTAGTGTGTGTTCATTATTATGTTTTAAAAAAAATAGTATACATCAAAAAAAAAAATTTTATGCTCTTTCATATGAGATCATATCTTTATAGCACTTAGGGATCCCTTTAATGTTTGTGTTAAACACAACATTTTATTAGTTACTGATTAGAAAAAAGAAACCACAAAAATATAAGTTTTGATATGTTTGAAGTAATTTTACTTTGGACATGTTAAAACTTATAATACAGATGCCCACATGATTATTTTCCCTTCCCTTTCCCATTCCCTTGAAAAATCGGATGAGTGGAAACTCACCTTGATTGTTATATAATCAAATATTTTGTTAGTAGGATAGAAAATATGTAATTTTTATTTTAACACAAAACTGTTTACAAAATATATGATTTGTTATGATTGCAAATACATTTTAATGTTTACAAAAGTTTTTTTTTTTCAGAGCAAAAAGTTGATGGTTGTTGTTCATGTAGAGTCGGCTATAAGTTTTTATGCTCAGGTTTGTTTGAGACAATGTTATTAACTTAAATAAATAAAAATAAGTTATAATTTTTTTTAATGTCTCTTTTTCTGTTTTATTAAATTATAATTTTTCCTATTAAAATTGTTTTTTCCATACATACATACATACATATATATATATATATATATATATATATATATATATATATATATATATATATATATATATATATATATATATATATATATATATATATATATATATATATATATATATATATATATATATATATATATATATATATATATATACATATATATATATATATATATATATATATATATATATATATATATATATATATATATATATATATATATATATATATATGTATATATGTATATATATATATATATATATATATATATATATATATATATATATATGTATATATATATATATATATATATATATATATATATATATATATATATATATATATGTATATATTTATTCATTATTTAATAAATATATATATATATATATATATATGTATATATATATATATATATATTTATTCATTATTTAATGAATATATATATATTTATATATATATATATATATATATATATATATATATATATATATTTATTCATTATTTAATGAATATATATATATATATATATATATATATATATATATATATATATATATATATGTATATATATTTATTAAATAATGATATAATAAACAAAAATTTTTTTGCTTTTTTTTTACGCTTGTTACTATTATATCTGAAAAACGCACCCTTCAATAATTAAAAAAAAAATCAAGTGAGGACAAGGTTAAGGGTGATAAGGGTCATGATGAGGGTCAGATTTTAGATCATGGCTGCTCCAAATTGGTTTAAGAAAAGAATCAGGTTGCTATAACTAGATGGTGTTCCTAAACCCTAGCCCTGATCATTACCCTTAAATAAGCATTTTTTTAATCTGCAAAAGAGTTCGTCATATCAGACATACTTATTAGAGATGTATCAACTCTTGTTCAGATGTATTTGTGATAAGGGCAAAAATAATTTTAATATACGCTACTTAACTGATGGATCATATATTTATATATATATATATATATATATATATATATATATATATATATATATATATATATATATATATATATATATATATATATATATATATGTATATGTATATATATATATGCACACACACTCAGTCACTCACCCCATTTTTTTAGTTCCCGTAACAATTTTTTAAACTTTTTTTCTACTATTTTTATCATATATAATTTTTAAATTTTTATTTTTATTTCTTTTTTTATTTATACATATTTAAATTTATTATTTTATAAAAATATATTTTTTATATTTATTTTTGTTTATTTATAATCTATTATATTTCATTTTTTATTTTTGTTTATTTACAAAAACAATTAATTACGGTAATATAGCCTTATTTAAACCTTGCTCTTACCCTAAGCCTTATTTTGATACTGAAAAAAAAACAAAAAAGTTATGAAAACACATACTAAACTCCATCAATTTTTTTTTTAACTATTTAAAAAATACTTGTAAGCAAAAAATTTATTTATAAAAATCATTTTATCATACCATAGCATTGTTTTGTACAAAAAACATTTATACAACCCTTGTAAGGGTTGTATAAACATGAACCAACCAACGAGCAGTGAAAATCATTATACTATGATGAAAACATCTTTGGAACAAGATTTAGGCGTCCTAATCTAATGATATAAAATTGAAAAATCATGTAGATATGATCGCAGGAAAAGCAAACAATACTTGGTCAAAAAAAACATTGTTTAATATACTTAGATAAAGACCTAATGAAACTGCTAGTTTGACCCTATTTGGAATTCGCTTCACTAATTTGGAGTCTTTTTTATAAAAAAGACTTCAATAAAACAAGTACAATGAAGAGCAACGCAAATATGATGTTTAAAAGGTATGAAATATGAGGAACGATTAAAAGAATTTGGATTGATGTCATTAGAAAAACAAAGAGAACGGATCGAATTAATAGAATATTATAAAATTCAAAATGACATTCATAAAGTAAATTGGAGATACCCTCCAACAAACAACTTATATCCAAAATTAAGAGATTATAATCAACGGTTGCACAAACAAAATGATTGTATTTCGGAAGCAAGAGCGCATTACTTTACTAATAGGATTGTTAATAAGTGGAACAGTCTAATCGATGATGTTGTTAATTCTGTTAATTTAAATACTTTTAAAAAAGTAAGCTCGAACATGGAAAAGATCAAATCTAAATAAAAATTGTATTTTTCATTTTAGTGTTAAAGTCATGCAACTACAGTTGGGTGACATATTTTTTATATACAGTTGGGTGACATATTTTTTATATATACAGTTAAAATTATTGTTATTATTATAGATACATGTTTTGATGCTTATTTACTCTCTTGTTGTGTAGCGTTTAAAATCATATCGTATATCCATAATTAAGAACTTTGATAATGTTATAGTGCATTTTTTTAACATGTTATACATGGTTGTTAATAATCATTGATTGTGTTGTTTTAATATTTTTAAGTATTAAGTTTTTCATTATACTGTCATGGTTACAACTGTCACAACAACAAAAAGCATAAAAATGTAAAACTTCTAGTAAAATCTACAAAACTCAGCATATAATAAGATCAATATGTGCTAAATACACACACCAAATGATTTTTTTTTTTAACTATGCTGTTCGCTGCATTAAGTCTTACAAAGTTGTTTTGTTCAGAAATGGTAAAAAGTAAGCTTTACGACCGTCGCGCTACGTTGAGTTAATTTTTAAAAAAAGTTAAAGACAAATGCTGTAACTTTACATACTAAATTATGATTGTATTTCTGGAAAGCTCATTTCCATTTTTTAGTCGTTTAAATAATGTAAAATGTTACTGCCACTCTCGCGAAATTGCTCATATGAGCATGTAATATATTGTTGCATACATATATATATATATATATATATATATATATATATATATATATATATATATATATATTATTGCATACTTAGATAGGCAGTCTGACATCATACTAAATTAGCCAGTTGCCCAGTGCTTCTGTATATATATTGACTTTCTTAATGTCGAAATAAATAAGCAGGAAGTGCTACTACAACTTCAAAGGGTTAAGGTTGAGGCAGCAATCTTCTTTTTCTATCCTATTCTTCAGGGTTTTTTTTTCTTTTGAAAAAATCTTATGAAATATTGTAAGCAAAGAAAGTTTTGTTATTGTCTTGGTCACGATGATCTTGGAAACGATGATCACACTCTATTTTATGACCATAAAAAATATAACTTAACTAAAATTAAATACAAAAAATTAAGTGCTATATAATATAATGTTTAAATCAAGTTTTTATATGAGTTTAAAATAATAAACTTTAATCTTTAAAAGTCTAAATAAATCTAAAATAAAATTATATTGATCTTTAAAAACTATATTGAACATGTAAACTGTGCATCATTTGGTTTTTATCTTTTTTAGATCTAATCTTTTTTCTTAACTGTTTATAATTTTATAAAAATTCCTTTCAAAATAAAGTAACTATCTTGAATGATTTTTTTATAAATAAGAATTTTTTATTATATTATAGTGTTTTTTTATTTTTTTAAAAACAGTAAGTGTCCATATAAATAATATGCATTTTTAAAAAAAATGATGTTATAATTCTTTTTAAAACCATTTCATGTCTAGTTTAAGTGTAGATTTTTTGCGTTTATATTTAGAAATTGATACATAATATTCAAATCCTTAAAATGCTTTAGTTAGTAAATGTAAAAGAAAAAGAAAAGGTTCTTACAAATTCTTTGTAGTAATATTAACCAAAGAAAAAATAATTCATTTTAATTAGAAGCTGCTCTTAACTTTTGTCGGAAATGTGTAGCGATGAAATACGCTAAAAAATATTTTTTCAACAAAATATATTATCTTTCTGAGTGTATTGTCTGTAATGATTCTTATACATAGTTCATTAAAGAGACCAAATAGTCGCTGTTAATAAAATCAAAATAAATTTTCATTTTTAAATTAATATTTAATCATATTTTTGTAAAAAATGCATAATTATTTAATTTATATATTATAAATTAAAAAATCTATATACTACTTTTTTTCTTTTTTTCTTTTAAAACATCTTCGCTTCCAACAAAGCTTCAAGCAACCACTAATTAGTGTTGGAAGTTACTCGAAGAAAAAAGATAAGAATTGTAGAGCAAGATAACGATTGACAGACGATTTAAAAAATTGCAAATTATATGAATCAGGAAAGCAAGATAAAGGAAGCGAATTCCAAAAAACTGATGTTTGAGGAAAAAAACTAGAGGAATAAAATTTTTTGGAGCACTTAGGAACAGTCACAGAAAAAGGATGAGGCTTAATTGAATGACTAGTCACGCAAGAATGAATTTTAGTAGATAGCACAAGAGACGCTAGCTCTTTAGACCAGTGCCCATTATAGTATTTGTAAAAAAGAGAAAGACAAGCAACATTACAACGATGTGATAATGGTTGGTTAGAGCAGGTACAACTATGTTTACAAGGCGAAGGTACAATTATGTTTACAAGGCGTTTTTGCACCTTGTCTAAAAGAGAAAGTTTTTCATCATCAAAGGGCATCATTAGAAGATCCGCCCCAGATATGACAACTTTCATTGATACCCCCAGATACACTTTCATTGAAACTTCAAACAAAAATTATTATTAATAATTTGTTACTTTATTAAAAAATGTAATATGTTAATTATGCTTATATAAAAACATAAGTAAAGACAAAATTTTATGTATATCTTTTTCAACTTTTTTTTTTAAATCTATTTTATTTAGCGCATTTTTGAAATGTTCATATATAGATGTATACATGTGTGTGTGTGTGTACATATATATATATATATATATATATATATATATATATATATATATATATATATATATATATAATATATATATATATATATATATATATATATATATATAT